AGCAATGTCCTGTGTGGGGAAGAGTGAGCAAGCCAGCTTGGCTAGAATCTGGAAGGCCATCTAATTGCTAAATGTGTCAGCTTTTCCCCAGTGTTGTTATTGTTGTTCAGTTGCTTTTGACTCTTTGTGGCCCCATTTGGGGTTTTCTTGGGAGAGATACAGGAGTGGTTTGCCATTTCCTTCTCCAGCTTATTTTACAGATGAGGACACTGAGGCAAACAGGTTAAGTGACTTGCCCAGAGTCACACAGCTAGCAAGTGTCTGAGGCTGGATTTGAACTCAGATCTTCCTGACTCTAAGCCACTTAAGCCACTCTAAGACTACTTAGCTACCCAGTTTCCCTAATGCTCACTGCAATTTTAAGTAGTTTGCTTCTGGGGTGTGAGGCTCTAAAGAGTCTAAGCCAGGCATGGGGAACCTGTGGCCTTGAAGTCACATGTGACCCTCTAGGTCCCCAAGTTTAGCCCTTTGACTGAAGCCAAATTTCACAGAACAAATCCCATATTTTTGTTCTGCGAAGTTTGGCTTCAGTCAAAGGGTCACACTTGAGGACCTAGAGGGCCACATGTGGCCTCCAGGCCAAAGGTTCCCCACCCCTGGAAAGTCTTCAGAGATGAAAAGTGACTTGCTCAAATCACCCATCTAAGAAATATTCAAACTCAGCTCTTCTGACTCTAAATCACTATCCAAGTCTTTGGATAATAACGAAACAGCCTGGACAATGGTGAAAGCAGACTTAGATGGGAGCCCAGAAAAGCAGGTAAAGATATAGAGCTTCACCAGAAGGTGGAACCAGCCTTATCAAACAACTGAGGCCAGAAACAGAAATGCACAGTCCAAGAGGTCTGGGATCATCTCTGCTGCTTAATCAGTATGTTAATTCTGACATTCTATAGTCTAAGCTTCTTCTAGCTTTATATCTTAAGATCCTCTCCAGCTCTAACATTCTATAAGCTAAGTCCCTTCCAGCTCTCCGACTGGGTATTCTCAGGTCCTTTCCTGCTTTAATATTCTATATGCTAAGGCCCCTTCTGGCTTTAACATTCCCTACTCCAAGCAGCTCTCTTCCAGCTCTCACTTTCAGTGATTCTACAATACTAGCCTTGTCTCTACTATATACTTGCTACGGCTTCCTCTCTCTGGACCTCAGTTTCCTCCCCTGTAAAACAAGGGAGGCTGTGGTCGATGAGCTCTGAGCTCCCTTCCAACTCTAACATTCTATGCTCCATGTCTAATAATAGCCCAATAATAGATCACTGCCAGGAGTGCAGCCAAAGCCTTTTCTGCTGAGGATTGATCAGAGTACTATTTATTTACAGGGTAGCAATTATGGGGACACAGGATAAGGTACAGGATCCAGCTTTGTCCAGCTAAGGAGACAAGGGTGACTCAGAGATCCCTCAGGTCCAGAGGCCTCTGTCTTGGCCCAGAATCCAGACCAATCTCCAGCCAAGGTCCCTGTTGTTCGACTACCAGAGCAAGTTTACAGCTTCTAGTTTCCATCACCTTCTGATCACTCCCTCCTCTGGGATCCTAGAGTGCTGACTGCCTGTACCACTCGTTCGGCCATTAATCATAAGTGGCCTTGTAACATTGATTCTGTAGTTGCCTTGGACTGTTTAACTAACTTTTCATGGGTTTGTGTCTTGTTTCCCCAGTGAGGCTGCAGGATCTTGACTCTATCCACGTCCAGAGAAAGAACTACGGAGTCTGAATGCAGATCGAAGCATACTATTTGATCTCTTTTTTTGCTTTTGTTGTTTTGTTTTGTTTCTTCTTTCTCGTGGTTCCTGCCGTTGGTTCTAATACTTCTTTACAACACGACTAATGTGAAAATCTGTTTGATAGGCATGTATATGTAGAGCCTATGTCAGATTGCATGCCGTCTTGGGGAGAGGGGAGGGAAGGGAGGGGGAGAAAATTTAAAACTCAAAAGCTTGTGGAAGTTGAAAACTAAAAAGAAAGAAAGAAAGGAAAACAGTGAAAGGAGAAAGTGCCTCAAAGTTAAAAACAAAACAAAGCGGAGACACTGGCTTAGACTGCCTGGCCAGTGGAAGGAGCCCCACATACCTCACAGAACTGCAGGAGGCAGTGTTGTATAATGGATTAGGCACTGGACTGGGAGTCAGGGAGACTTGGGTTCACATCTCCCCTGCATGATTGTATGACTCTAGAAAAGTCACTTAATTGTTTTTGGTCCTCAGTTGCCCCATATCTGAAACAAAGGGGTTGCACTTGATAACTTCAATGGTCCAAATTCTATGGTCTAAATTCTATAAATTGGGGCAGCTAGGTGGTGCAGTGGATAGAGCACCGACCCTGGAGTCAGGGGGGACCTGAGGTCAAATCAGACACATAACACTTCATGGCTGTGTGACTCTGGGCAAGTCACTTAACCTCAATTGCCTTGCCTTCTCCCCACCCCCACCCCCACGAAATAAATTCTATAAAGTACAGAATACCATAAAATGTTAAAGCTGAAAGTATAGTATAGGGGAGAAGCTAGGTGGTGCAGTGGATAGAGCATGGGCCCTGGAGTCAGGAAGACCTGAATAAAATATGACCTCAGATACTTACTAGTTCTGTGACCCTGGGCAAGTCACTTAAGCCCAATTGCTTCCCCCCCACACACATACACTCATATCCATATCCATATCCATATCCATATATATATATGCATATATATATATATATATACACACACATATATATCATATACACACATACACACACATAACCATATATATTTTTTAATACATATTATAGGTATACTAGAAGGGAATTGAGAACACAGTCTGGGAAGAAACTTTGAATATAGACTAATAATATAAAGAAAAAAAATAATAGCTAACATTTATATAGAGCTTCAAGGTTTGCAAAGTGCTTTAAAACAATTATGTTGTTTTATCCCCACAACAAGTCTGGGAAGATAGGTGCAGTTATTATTCCCATTTTACGGATGAGGTAACTGAGGCACACAGAAGTTAAAGTGACTTGCTCATGTCACATTGCTGCTAAGTGTCTGAATTCAGGTCTTCCTGACTCTAGGTCCAGCACTCTGTGTGCTACATCATCTATCTGCCTCTATTAACCATTAGTAACTATTGAGTCCAGACTTCCTCATTTTACAAATGAGGGAACTGAGGAAATGAAGCTCCTTCCCTTGATATAAAACAGACCTTTCTATAGCAATTTTTTAGGGGGCAGGGGTGGACCCAAAATTTTGCTGGCATCAGGAATGTCCAGAGAGGAAAACTCTACTAGTAACTTATCTAATCTTAGGGACTTCCTAGGGTCACGGAGTGGTTTAGTGACTTGCCCAGAGTCATACAACCATTTTGTGTTAGAGGCAGGACAGCAACCCACATTTACTTACGTAAACTCTCTTTAAAGTTTGCAAAGTGTTTTACATACAGTGTCTCATTTGCTCCCACAAGACTTATTGTACCCATTTTACAGATGAGAAAGCTAAGACAGAGAGATAAAGTGACTTGTCTACTGTTGCTCAGCCAGTAAGTGTCAGAAGCAGGACTTGAACCCAGGTATCTCTTGACTATTAGCTTAACTCACTTTCTTTTTCACTGTCTTTCTTTTGATTGATATCAGGAACCAGTAAAACTGAGATGTTCTTGGGGCAGCTGGGTGGTACAGTGAATAGAGCTTGGGGCCTGGAGTCAAGAAGACCTGAGTGAGTTCAAATCCAGCCTCAGGTACTTACTAGCTGTGTGACCCTGGGCAATTCATTTAACTCACTTTCCTCATCTATAAAACGACCTGGAGAAGGAAATGGCAAACCGCTGTAGTATCTTTGCCAAAAACACACGAGGTCACAAAGAGTCAGACAGGACTGAAAAACAACAGTGTTCTATGGTCTAAGGTCCCTCCCAACTTGAATGTTCTATGTACTAGACTCTAACATTCTTTATTCTATGGTCTGTTCCAGCACTAACATTCTGTGTTTTATGTTCAAACATTCTATAATCTAAGGTCCCTTCCAGCACCAACAATCTATGTTTTAGCAGTCAGTAGTCTAAGGAACCTCCCCACAGGAATGTTCTATGTACTAGACTCTAACGTTCTCTGTTTTGTAGTCTGTTCCATCACTAACATTCTGTGGTCTGTGTTCAGGCATTTTGTGGTCTCAGGGCCCTTCCAGGCCTAACGCTGTATGTTCTTTCTCCGATTTTCCCCCAGTGGCTTCAGTTGTGCATTTGAGTGGCCCTGCCAGCACTACCTCAGCATGCTCCATGGCAGGTAGCTGTCTGCGATTCCATATGATTCCGCACTGCCTGCCATTGGTTCTTGGCAGCCAGTGCCATAGCAGATGACATCTCAATCACAATGTGTTGCAAGCACAGTCTGAGCCTCTCTCTGGAAGCGCTCGCTCCTTTCCAATTTTCCTTTTCTGGTGGTTTTTGATGATCTTGTGGTAATATAAATAAGGCATCGGTGCAGCTGTCATTGAGACACACAAACAAAGGGTCTAAGAGAGTCACAGCTTAGTCAGGTCTTGTGTTAACCCCCCTGGCAGAGTCCGCCACATTGGCCACGTGGGCAGGCCAGGGAGCTGGCAGCAGGGAAATCAGCAGAGAAGAGAGAAAATGATGACATTCAGAGAGGGAGATCTCAACCTACCAAGAGGAAGAATGATGAAATGAAGGCTCAGAGAATTGAAGTGAGGAAGATCTGGGTTCTGGTTCTGGTTCTGTGACTAATTTACTGTGTGATCTTGGACAAGGCCCTTCACCTCTCTATGCCTCAGTTTCTTCATTTGTACATACAGGACTAGACCAATCCCCTCAACATTAATACTCTTTGTTGGACATAAGAATGTGTTCTAAGAGTCCTTCTAACATTTTCTATTATAACATACTATTTTTTAAGGTCCCATTCTAGCACTGACATCCCATGAGTCTGCTCTAAGGCCCCTTACAGTTTGAATATTCTATGTTTGAATATTTTATGTTCTAAGTTCACCTCAGGTTCTATTGTCTTCCCAGGGTCGCAGTGGAAGGGATTCCTGTTCAGGTAGGTATTGGACAAGATGATCTCTGAATTCCTTTCTAGCACTGAGATTCTGTTATTCTGTCTGGGAGTTTTAGTGAACAGAAGGCTCAATATGAGTCAGCAGTATGACATGGAAGCCAAAAAAAGCTAATGAGATCTTTATTTCAATGTTTCTAGGATCTGTGATTTCATTGGTTATGGGTATTCTCTCAACTGACAAAGAGATAACTAGCTTGCTAGCTAGGAAAAGCAATTATTAAGCATTATGTGCCAAGCACTGGGAACATACAAATCCAAGCAAATAAGACAGTCCTACCCTCAAGGAACTTACATTCCACTGAGGTGGGGGGGGGAAGATAACACATGCAGGAGTCCTAGAAAGTGTGGTCCTTCTATAGCTTGGTCAATAGATTTTGAGAATTGTTATAGTCAAAAAATACATTACCTTTTGGCCAACCTGGTGCTGAGCCCCATCTGAATGTAACTAGACTGGCCCTTGGGTAACAGAGACACAGCCCACTTGTGGGTCAATGATCAAAGCCTTTCCAATTTGGTGGCATCTGCCAGAGTTAGCACTGCCATTATAGCCTTTGATAACCCTAGGCTTCTGCACCCCAGTGAACTATTCCAAGTGGAACTTTGGTGGAGACTTCAGTGGCTTTTGTTTTTTAATTTGGACCCATCATTTCACTGGTATAGAGAACTCACAATGAGCAAACTCCTTCTACCCATGCAGATTGAGGTCTGCTCAGAAACTTAGGGAGTTGCTCGTGGGTCGTGGCAGACCAAGTGCCTTGTCCAGGGTCACCCAGGCAGGACTGGACGCCAGGTCTTCCTGACATCAAGGCCAACCCTTTTTCCATTACACAAGGCTTGTTGTGGTTTTTAGTTATGTCTGACTCTTCCTGACCCCATTTGAGGTTTTCTTGGCAAAGGTACTGGAGTGATTTGTCATGTCCTTCTCTGGCTCATTTTATAGATGAGGAAACTGAGGCAAGCAGGGTTAAGTGACTTGCCCAGGGCCCCACAGCTAGTAAATATCTGAGGCCAGATTTGAATTCATGAAGATAAGTCTTCCTGGCTCCAGACCTGGCTCTCTATCCATTGCGCCTCCTGGCTGTTCTCTACATTAGGCCACCTCATAACGATTAGTCTGTATTAATAAGAACATAACATTGACTCAGTCTCCACATTTTAAAAAAGCATGTTGACAAGCTGGAGCGGGTTCATTGGGTGGTGAGAAGATTGGAGGTTGTTCTAAACAAGGATCAATTGAAGGAAACAGGAGTGTTTAGTCAGAAGAAGAAAAGACTTGGGGTGAGGGAGTATAATCACTCTCTGTAAGTACTTGAAAGGGTATGGTGGAGAAGAGTTAGACTGGTGACCTTTCAGAGGTCACATGGTCTAATCTACATGTAAGCTGAAATCCTCTCTACAGCATTCATAAGTGTTCATCAGACCTCAACTTGAATAACTCCAGTGATGAGGAACTCACTACCTACTAAGGTAATCTAATCCAGTTTTGGATAGTTCTCATTCTTAGGAAGTTTTTCCTTAAATCAAGTAAAAATCTGCCTCCCTACACCTTGCCATTGCTTTTATACCTGTCCTCTGAGTTTCATCTGAAATTCTATTTAAAATGTTTTAAAGATGTACTTTTTGAGACTTTTTTTTTAAGCTAAGCAATAGGATTAAGTGACTTGCCCATGGTCACACAGCCAGTGAGTGTTATGGTCTGAGGCCGGATCTGAACTCAAGTCCTCCTGACTCCAGGGCTGGCGCTCTATCCACTGAGCCACCTAGCTGCCCCTAGAGGTACTCTTTGGATACAGAAATCCCTTAATTTTATTTTATATTTAGGCAGGTAATTGGACTTAAGTGACTTGCCCAGGGTCACAGAGCTAGTAAGTGTCTGAGGCCAGTTTGAACTCAGGTCCTCCTGACTCCAGGGTCAGTGCTCTATCCACTGAGCCATCTAGCTGCTTCCAGAAATCATTTTCTTACGGGTACGTGATTTAGACATAAAGGGTGATACTAAAAGCAAATTAGGAGAGCAAGGAATAGTTTACCTTTCAGATCTATGGAGAAGGGAAGAATTTATGACCAAATAGGAGATACAGAACATTACAAAATGCAATATGGGTAATTTTGATTACACTAAATTAAAGTTTTTGCACAAACAAAGCCAATGCAATCAAAGCTGGGATACAATTTTTATAGCCAGCATCTCTGATAAAGGCCTCATTTTTAAAATATGTAGAGAAATGAGTCAAATTTATAAGAATACAAGTCATTCCCCAGTTGATAAATGGTCAAAGGATATGAACAGGCAGTTTTCAGATGAAGAAATTGAAGCTATCTGTAGTCATATGAAAAAATGTTCTAAATCACTGCTAATCAGAGAAATACAAATTAAAACAACTCTAAAGTACTAACTCATACCTATCAGATTGGCTAATATGACAAAAAAGGAAAATGATAAATATTGGAGAAGATGTGGGACAATTGGAGCACTAATGCATTGTTGGTGAAATTGTGAACTGATCCAACCATTCTGGAGAGCAATTTGGAATTATGCCCAAAGAGCTATCAAGCTGTGCATACCCTGTGATCCAGCAATACCACTAGGTCTGTATCCCAAAGAGATCATAAAAAAGGGAAGAGGACCCACATGTACAAAAATATTTATAGCAGCTCTTTTTGTGGTGGCCAACAACTGGAAATTGAAGGAATGTCCACCAATTGGTGAATGGCTGAATAATATGAATGTAGTGGAATACTATTGTTCTATAAGAAATCATGAGCAAGAGGACTTCAGAAAATCAGGAAAGACTTGTACGCTGAGTGAAGTGAGCAGAGTCAGAAGAACATTGTGCAAAGTAACACCAACTCTGATAGACTTAGCTCTTCTCAGCAATACAATGATCTAAGACAATTCCCAAAGACTCAAGATGGAATATGCTATCCACATCCAGAGAAAGAGCTGTGGAGTCTGAACTCAGATTGAAGCATACTATTTTCTCTCTCTTTTTTTCTTTCTCGTGGTTTTTCCCTTTGGTTCTGATTGTTCTTTCACAACATGACTCACGTGGAAATATGTTCAATACAATTGTACATATATAGCTTATATCAGATTGCATGGAGAGGGGAGAGGAGGGAGGGAGAAAAAAGACTTGGAAATCAAAATCTTATAAAAGTGAATGTTGAAAACTATCTTTACATGCAGTTGGAAAAAATAAAATACTATTAGGAAAATAAAAGAAATCACTTTCTTATCACACCCCTGCTCCATCTTCCCTAAAATTATAATTGTTATACCCCACCACCACCATGTATACTCACTCCTAACTCATACTAGCAGGTTGAAGGTTAGATTTCCCAGAAGATACCTGCTACCTTGGGTTCAAAGGTTCTCTGTGGGTCTGTTGTCCTAAAAGTATAGTTCATTAGCCCCCGCCATTAAGCTTACCTTTAATAGGCAGCTAGTGGACGCAATGAGCTCAGGGCAATAACATTTACTAAGATGGCATAGTCAAAGGAATAGTTACAAAACATCTCCCCTATGAACCTAGGGTGCAGTCTCTCACAAATGCACAAGGTGTCCATAGGAAGAATAGGCAGAAACTACAAAGGTAGTGAGACATACACACAGAAAATACCTGAGGCCAAGGCAACTCATGCCTCCAGTACTAAGGATAAGCCAGGGTCGCATCTCTCTCTCTTTTTTTTTTTTTTTAAGGCAATTGGGGTTAAATGACTTGCTCAGGGTCACACAGCTAGTAAGTGTCAAGTGTTTGGTCTGAGGCTGGATTTGAACTCAGGTCCTCCTGACTTCAGGGCCAGTGCTCTAACCACTGCACCACCTACCTGCCCCAGTGTTGCTTTTCTTCTCATGGTATCCTCATGTTGCTCCCGTCTGGGCACATCGCCTCTCCTGGGCCAGGGCATGGCTGGGCTCTCTGGGTCTGCTCTTCTCTGTAGCTCAACTGCCAGGGCTAATTCTCTCTTGAATTCATAGCGAACTCTTTTCTGTTTCCAGAGGTTATGATACTCGGAGCTATCTGTTCCACTCGCTGTCTATCTCTCTTTGCTCTCTGCTAGAAGCAGTGTTTCCAAGAGAATGAGGAGAAGCGCTATTGCAAAGTGCCTCAGCTGTTGGTAAGGAAGGAGAGACACATCTTCTAGTAAAGGGATGGGGTCACATTCTGCAAAACTGCTCCTTGCTTCACCTGTGTCTCAACTACCCTCTCAGTTGTCAGGCTTAGCTTTTTAAAAGGCTAGGCAGGGCATGGATAATCTCCCTTCCTCTCTCCCTCCCTTCTTCCTTCTTCTCTTTCTCCCTCCCATCCTCCCTTTCTCTCTTCCTTCCTTCCTTCCTCCCTTTCATCTTTCCTTCTTCCCTTCCCTCCTCCTTCCCTCCTTTCCTTCCTCCCTTCTTTCCTTCTTCCCTTCCCTCCTCCTTCCCTCCTTTCCTTCCTCCCTCCCTCTTTTCCTTCCTTCCTTCCTTCCTTCCTTCCTTCCTTCCTTCCTTCTTCCTTCCTTCCTTCCTTCCTTCCTTCCTTTCTTCCTTTCTTCTTTCTTTTCTTCCTTCCTTCTTTACTTTCTTCCTTCCTTCTTCCAGTGTCAAGCTCGCTTTCCAATTCAATCAGAGAAACTCCCACTTTATAAAGGAATAACAGGGCATAGACACATTTTTCCATTTAACATAGGAACATCTCATGACTTCAGTTATTTCCCCTTATTTTCTTTGATTATATCAGCTATGCTGGGGAGAGGGGCTACTCCCATTATGTAGTCATTATGTAGTTTGGTCTCCTGGTTCTGCTTTCTTTGCTCTGCATCAATTCATATGGATCTTCCCACATTTCCTTCAGTTCCTCCCATTTATAATTCTTCATCATTCCTATACCACAATTTGTTCAGTTATTCCCTAAGTGATGGGTATCTACTTGTTTCAAGTTTTTTTGTCACTGCAAAAAGTGAATATTTGAGTTTATACAAGTTCTTTCTTTCTTCAAATATAGGACCAAAAGTGGGATTGTTGGATCAAATTACAGTTCTATTAACTTTCTCCACAAAACTCAGAATAGTTTGTTAGTATGATTGGACCAATACACAGTTGTACCAAGAGTGTATTAATGTGACTATCTTTCCACAACCTCTCAAAATGAGTATTTTCATCTTTGACCAGCTTTGTCAATTTGATATTAATACCTGAGTTATTTTAATTTATGTTTCCATTATTATTGTTATTATTATTAATGATTTGGGGCATCTTTTCATTTGGTTGTTAATATTTTACATTTCTTCTTTTGAAAACTATGCATGTCCTTTGACCACTTATTTACCGGGGAATATATGTTAGCCTCAAATATTATTGTCCATTCTGTATAGATTTTAGATGTTAGACTTTTATCAAAAAGTACATAGTTTTTTGTCTTATTCTAGCTGCATTAATTGTTTGTGCAAAAGCCTTTTAATTTGATATAATCAGAATAGTCAATTTTATATTTTGTAATCTCTTCCTTCCTTATTTGGTTATGAATTACCTGCCCTCCCCTAGTCATAATTATGAAAACAATGACCCTCTATTCTCTTACAATGTTTTCCAGCTCCAAAATTCTCTGCCATGTTCTGAGAGTCAGAGCTCTCCTTTCTTGTCTTTGCCTCTTGGATCCTGTAACTCTCTTCAAGGCTATCCCATTTTCTAATTCCCTAAGTTGTTATGTTCTCCTCCCCCCAAGTCCTGATATTGCTTTTTGTTTTCTCCCAGTAAAATGTAAGCTACCTGAGGGCAAGAATTGTTTCATTTGTGTGTTCATATACACTGTGCGTAGCTCAATGCCTGGAACATGGGAAAGAAGGAAGGAAGCAAACATTTATTAAGCACCTAATTTGTGCCGGGTGAGGCAGCTAGATGGCTCGGTGGATAGAGCACTGGGCCTGGAGTCAGGAAGACCTGAGTTCAAATCTGGCCTCAGACACTTATTACCTGTGTGTAACCCTGGGCAAGTCAGTAAACCTTTCTTTGCTGTAATCCACTGGAGAAGGAAATGGCAAACCACTAGTTCTTTGCCAAGAAAATCCCATGGACAGTATTGGTGTGCAGTGGTCTACAGGGTCATGAAGAATCAGACACGACTCAATAACAGGTGTTCCAGGCACTGTTGCTAACTGCTTTACACATGCTATCTCATTTGATCCTCACAAAAACCCTGGGAGGCAGTTACTATTACTACACTCATTTTACAGATGAGGAAACTGAGGCAAAGTTTAAGTGATTTGCCTGGGGTCATATAGCTAGTAAATGTCTGAGGCTGAATTTCAACTCGAGTCTTCCTGACTCAGGTCCCACCGTTTTATCCAGTCGGCCACCTCTAATAATACTAAGTCCTTTAAATGCCCCTCTCCTACCCTCCCCTGTCTTCCTTCCCCACTTCAGAGTAGGCACAGATATCCTCTGACTGCTTTCTGTTGGCCAGGAAGACTCTTAATTGGCTCTTGAGCCAGAACTCTGCCAGCCTCAAGTTGCCTTGATTGACTGATGATTCTCTGAGCTGCATGGCCTCCTAGGCCAGCCTAAGTTGGGATGGGGCTACTGCCAATTTACGTCTTCTTTCCTTTGATACAGGACCCTGGGAGATCTTGTAAAGCAGCTCTCATCTTCCCCCCTTCTTGGACACCACAGTAATGACAGCAGCAGCAGCAGTAAGAGTGGGCTCTCAGGATGGAGTCACCCCCAGAGAGAAAACACTGTAAAGAAAAGAAGCCATTTGAATTTGACCCATTGGGGGTGAACTACAAAATGCTGAATTAGAAATCCTGTTTCAAATGTCCCAACAAGTCCCCAGCTGATAAATGGTCACAGGATATGAACAGGCAGTTTTCAAAGGAAGAAATTAAAGCTATCTACAGTCATATGAAAAAATGTTCTAAATCACTACTGATTAGCGAAATGCAAATCAAAACAACTCTGAGGTACCACATCACACCTATCAGATTCGTTACATGACAAAACAGGACAATGATACATGTTGGAGGAGATGTGGGAAAATCGGAACACTAATGCATTGTTGGTGGAGTTGTGAACTGATCCAACCACTCTGGAGAGCCATTTGGAACTATGCCCAAAGGACTACAAAATTGTGCATACTGTTTGACCCAGCAATAGCACTTCTAGCTCTATATCTCAAAGAGATCATAAAAATGGGGAAAGGACCCACATGTACAAACATATTTATAGCAGCTCTTTTTGTAGTGGCAAAGAATCAGAAATTGAGGGGATGCCCATCAATTGGGGAATGGTTGAACAACTTGTAGTATATGAATGTAATGTAATACTATTGTACTATAAGAAATGATGAGCAGGCAGACTTCAGAAAAAACCTGGAAAGACTTATATGAACTGATACAGAGTTAAATGAGCAGAACCAGTAACAGCAACACTGTGTGATGATCAACTATGATTGACTTGGCTCTTCTCAACAATGCAAGGATCTAAGACAACTTTAAAAGACTCACGATGGAAAATGCCATCCACATCCAGAGAAAGAACTATGTAGTCTGAAGGCAAATCAAAGCATCCTATTTGTCCTCTCTTGTATTTTTTGTTTTTGTTTTGTTTTTTCTGTCTTGTGTTTCCTCCCATTAGTTCTAATTGTTCTTTACATCATGACTAATGGGAAAATATGCTTAATATGCATGTATAAGTAGAGCCTGTATCAGATTGTACACCATCTTGGGGAAGGAGGCAAGGAGGGAGTTGGAGAAAATTTAAAACTCAAAAGCTTATGGAAGTGAATGTTGAAAACTAAAAATAAATGCATTAACTATTTAAAAAAAGAAAAAGAATCTTCATATTTTAGTGGAATACAAGCACACAAAAAAAATGTCCCAACAAGGCCTCAATACTCACCTCAAAACTGGTTTTTCCATAATAATTCTATCCCTTTCTGTGTGGGGGAATAAAATTGCCTGTCCATAGGATTCACATTTGCACTTGCGGTGTCTTTTTATTACTTCTTGTCCTGCTGGAGAGAACACCTTAGTCAAGAGCTGAAAATAAAACTTCTTCTGCAGTCTGGGGTGGGGGTGGAGCTGGAACATGAAGGAGCCTAGTTTTCTGGGAAGAAGAAAAGCAACTCTAGAACAAAGAACAAAGGCAGGTAAGGGTCAGGAACTGGTGACCATTTATTGCCAGCTGTTAGGACCTCAGCCTTGCTTGATACTATGCTAGGACAGGTCCATAGGTCTGAGGGTAGAAGAGACCTTTGACATCATCAGCCCTCTCGTTTTATAGATGAGAACACTGAGGGGCAAGGAGATAAAATGACCCGCCCAAGGTCACTCAAGTGTTTGGGCCCCCTCTCCTTCTGTTCTCTATTTAGTTAGGTGGCACAGTGGGTAGAGCACTGGCCCTGGAATCAGAAAGACCTGAGTTCAAATCCAGCCTCAGACACTTACTAGCTGTGTGACCCTAGGGAAGTTACTTAACCTCTGTTTGTCCTATTTTCCCCATCTATGAAATGGGAATAATAATAATAACACCTACCTCCCAGAGTTGCTGTGAGGATCAAATGAGATGGTAATTGTAAAGCACCTGGCACAGTGCCTGGTACATATAAGAGCTATGCACATGTTAGCTATTCTTCTTATCAGGAAGCTAGATGGTGCAGTAGATACTGGGCCTGGAGTCAGGAAGACTGTTCCTGAGTTCAGATGTCATCTCAGACTCATAGTAGCTGTGTGACCCTGGACAAATCACTTAACCCTGTTTACCTCAGTTCCTCATCTGTCATATGAGCTGGAGTAGGGAATTGTAAACCATTCTAGTATCTCTGCCAAGAAAACCCCAAATGGGCTCACAAAGAGTTGGACATGATTGAAAAATGACTAAATTCAACTGATTGTTATTATCAAGTTCTGTCTCAGAAATTTACTAGCTGCTTGACCCTGGGCAAGTCACTTAGCCTTTGTTTGCTTCAGTTCCCTCATCTGTAAAATGTGGATAATAATAGCAGTTACCCCCCTCCCCCAGGGTTGTTGTGAGGATCAAATGAGATATTTGTAAAAAAGCACTTAGCACAGTAGGTGCTATATAAATGCTTATTCCCTCCGTCCTAACCTCTTTGCTTGAAGCTCTCTTCAAACTCCAACTCTGCTATTTATTTATTTGTATGACCTTGGGCAAGTCACTTAACCTCTCCAGACCATTATTTTCCTCATCTGTTAAAGGGCATTGGATGAAATTATTTTTATATAGTCCTTTTAAGCTCTAAAGCTATGCCCTGTGACCTCTTGCTGTTGACCAAGGGGGCAGATGAGAAGGTAGCTCTCATTAGAATAAAGTATTTCAGAAGGATGCAGAGAAGGGGCAAGTAGGGAGAGAGATGGGGAGGGAGAAAGGAAGTCAAGGACAGAGGCAGGTTATGAGGAGGAAGGAAGGGGGGAGAGGGGAGTGGGGAAAAGCAGGCAGAGAGTGAAAGAGAGGGAAGAAAGATATGAAGAAGAAGAAACAGAAGAAAGGAAGGAAGCGGGCAGCAAAGCAAGGAGAGATGTAAGGGAACAGGACAGAGAAGGAGAGAGAGAGGAAAGAAGTAGGGAGAGGGAAGAGGGGAGGAAAGAGAGAAGCTGCTTTCTGGGCCCAGAATCCTGAATGTTAATGGACTGGCTTTGTCTACGTACACTTGTTAATCCTGCTGAGACTTTCCATTCTACTGTGGGTTATATTTAGACCTGCTTTTCTGATAGAGTGACACCTTGGAGCTGAGATCTGCTTTTGCCTCAGTCTTTCATTGAACAGTACTACCACGGGGAGGAACTTGGGGACATCCACTATTAGGGTACTAAGGCCTAACTTCAAAATTCACACACACACACACGCACACACACGCATGCATGCACACGTACCACATGTCTCTCACCCACATTCATCCACGCACACGTAGATTCACACTCTCATATTCATAGTCACTCCAAAACACAATTAGACTGATATTCAGAAATGGCAATGATAATAATAATGATAGCTATTGCAATTATTATAACTCAGAATTACATAGGGAAATAGGGCTCAAAAAGCACCTATTTTACAACATGTCACAAGGTACTGCAACAGGTATGTAGTACAAGGATCACAGATCCCATTTTACAGATAGGAAAATGGAAGCTTGAGAGGTGAGATGTCTTTTCTATAGCCACAGAGCTGGTAACTGTGTGGGTTGGGAGTATCTGAGATAAACCCAGGTCTATGTCTCCTGGCTCTAGGTACAGAGCTGACTCTAATATAAACATGCACGTTCAGACACTTTCTCTCACACAAACTCACACATGCAATCATAATCACATGCTCACAGTTGCATATTCAAGCACATACACTCAATTACAATTTCATTCACACCAGCGCACACATGTGTGCACTCTAGAAGGTAATCACAATCATATACTCACAGTTGCACCTTCAAATACCGACACACACTCAATTACACCCTCACCAGACAGAAAGGATACTATTTGTCTGTACGTATACATAATCACAGACAGACTAGCAAACTCAAAGAAACACGTAATATGTTGAAACATACCTCCAGACACGCATGACTAGGCACGCACAGACACAGGCATACGATGACACGTACTCAGTCAGGCACACACAGACAGAACTCCACCGGTCAGGCCCTGGGCTCTTGGATGCACTCACACAGAGTTAGCAACTCCAGTTCAAATTAAGGCATCTTTTAGGAGAAAAAGCAGAGGCCTTTCTCTTTCATTCTTCTCCCTGCAGTTTATCCATGTGAGACAATTCACTGTCCTGCCTCCTGGAGGCCCCTCCATCTGCCTGGTGCCTGCCTGTGAGCCAGGCACATCTTCCCGAAAGAGGAACGAATGGGATTTTAAATGCTGACCTGCTGTGACAAGTGCTGTTCTTCTCTTTAGTTCTCACTGGGAAGAAGAAGACAAGAGAAGGAACCCCTTTAGCCAAGGAGGGGCAGAAGAGAGGGCTGACTCCAAGTTCCAGCCCAGTCTGGACATCCAGTGACTGCCCAGTGAGGAGGCACTTAACGCCACTTTCCTTATGCTCAGTGCCATGGAGGTTAGGGTTGGTTACTTATTTGGCTCGAGTGATTGTTCGTGTGAAATGATGATGATATTAATTCCCATTTCCATATCACTTTCAGGTATAAAAATCTCTGAACTCCAGAAAATCCCATGACATAGGTAACACAAGAATTATTATCCTCATTTTGCAGGAGAGAAACTGAGGCTTAAATAAATCCATGTGATTATAAATGTAGAACTGGAAGGGACCTTAGACAACCTGGTACAACACCTTTAGTCTACATATGAGGAAACTGAGGTATAGAAAGATTAAGGGACTTATCCAGTGTCATAGAGCTAGTAAATGACAGAACAGTATTTGATCCTTCATATTTTGACTATGACAAATGCTCCTTCCATTCCACCATGCTGTCTCAAAATGATCCATATTTCTATAGTACTTTATAGTTTATAAAACACCTCCCTTAAGACAACCTTTTAAAGAAAATAATGCAAGCATTGATGAAAGAGAAAGCTGAGACTCAGAGAAGGAAAGAGACTTGCCCCAAATCACAGAAGTTAATAATACCTTTGAGGGCCAGATTCAAACCCTGATGCCGAGACCAGTGTTCTTTACCCAACACCATGCTCCCCCTCATGCCTTCATTCTTGGTATTTGCAGAACAGAACCTTCATTAGAACCATCTGCCCACCTCTGGATTTCCAGGTGCTGCCCAAACAGAGGCTTCCTATTGGCACATAGCTCTCTTGAGTTACTCCCAGGATCACTGTGACTCTTTTGTGTTGATAACTATTCAGCCCGTAGTCTGAGACCCCACACATAATGTGTTGCTCTATTGTTTGGCATACCA